ATAGTTCGTTGTAAGCGTGTTATGTATAACCATCGTTTTTCTTTCAATATTACAATTAACACACTGATTTTGACGTTTGAATATTTTGCACAAGATATATATTATTCTTTGCTACAACAGTGCCACCAAGCTATCAACTGTGGGCGTACTTTTGAACAAACTATTCGTTTCAAATAGTCTTCATACCCATCCATAGAAAATACTTGAACGTTCCCAGCTTTTTAGTGGGTATGAGTTTGCAGACAAAGTGGGTTGAGAATAATAGCAGTCGAGGTCACGCAGACAAGGGTGCCGTTGTACAAAGCAATTGTAGGCAATCTTAAGGTGATTATAACTCCCATAACTTAACATAGGCTTACACTGGTCGTAGCGCTAAGATCGCTTTGTGTCACGTGTCCTCTAGTCACACGCTACATCAACGCCGCCAAGGTGCAATGGCGTCCTTCGTTCCCTGCGCAAAGTGATGTTAGCTCTATACAATGGTCGTCACTCCAATTCCTTTTTAAGTCACAGATTTACGACTGACTGACTGACTGAGTTTTGGTTTACGCCGCTGTTAGCAATATTCCAGCAACATCACGGCGGGGGACACCAGAAATGGGCTTCACACATTGTACCCATGTGGGGATTCGAACCCGGGTCTTCGGCGTGACGGGCCAACGCTTTAACCACTAGGCTACCCACCGCCCCCACAGATTTACGATAGCCGTAGCGGTAAGATTGCTTTGTACAGGTGGGCCCAGGTCAACGTTAAAACCACCTAAACGTCATTAGTCTTATGAGCAATATCGGCAACTTATTTTTACCCCGAACCCTCTGGGGGTTGTAGAGACACGAAACGGTCATTGCGCTCCTGCAAGAGCAAACTAAGAGTATAAGAGGACCAACCATGAAGAGAGACAGTGTTAAGGCAATGTATCAATAAGCCTAACAAACGTCACATCATCTTTGAAATTTTGGTTGAATTGTTTTGTATTGAAATGAAATATCGGCAATGTTAGAAGTTTCAAAGAGCCACCCTTTTCTAGCATGGGACCTTCAGTGTTTGTTTGTTTTGTTGTTTAACAATCAAATTTCAGCTGTGTAACGGCGGTCTTCAAATAATCCAGTCTCATCCAGACAATCCAGTGATTAATACCATGAGCATTGATCTACGCATGGGCCGTTAGTAGTTTACATATTTCGTCTGTATGTCCGCACAGGGTACGTAATTCAGAGGTAATGAGCTATGCCAAATGAGTAGGATTTCCCAATATAGAACGTGTAAGGATTTCAAAATGGTCTCAGGATACCCATGGTCACTCACGGGACGATGTACGGGTGGTGGTGGTGGAATTGGGTTTAACGTCGTGTTTGAGAATATTTCGCTCATATGACGACGTGCATGCGTGTGTATGTGTATGTGCGGCTGCTTGTACTAGCACAGACTGAAGCTGGTTTTATAGTGCTAGCCCACTGAGATACCATGCCGCAGCGAAGCATGAATACCCTACTCAGACACATTATACTGACTCCGAGCCGACCAGTCCTTGTTGTACCCATTTATGCCGAGCGCCAGGCAGGGACCAACAAGTACCATATTTTAACGTCTTTTGGTATGACGCGGTCGGGGATCGAACCCACGACCTTCCGCACTCCGGGTGGACGCTCTAACCACTACACCACGGAGGCGGTCGTTGACGATGTACGGGAGTTCACACCTCGTATACAGTCCGCAAGTTTGTGGATGCCGAGTCAAAATCGATACAGATCGATTTGGGGACAAATACGAGATAACGTAGTCACACTTTCTGATGATTCCGACTAAACTACCGGCAACCGACCGTACACCATACTTGGTGAAGACTTTACTAGGTATTCAGTATTGAAGTATTTGATCGTTGTTGTGTTTTGGACACAACGTGTGTAGTGTATCAGTGTATGTTTTCATCCATGTAACGTTTGAATAACGTTGTATCCAACTTTCAAACACGTGCTTGCTTTTGCCGAGCTGTTTACGATGACATTTCTATGTCGTTTAAACCACCTTTCGTAGAGCTGTATGTAAGACAATAGACAGAGGGGTTTACTGAATCTAGTAATTCATGTCACAGATTTTTATATCATGAAATGCATATTGTGTAAATGAATCACGTCATGCGATGGTAGTTTACGTAACATGAGATACATATCATTGATGCGTAGCGTAACATGAAATGATTTTGTGGTATAAATCACTTTGTGGATAATATCAAGTTACGCATTGTAATACGTATCATGACATGAAGAGAATTTAGCAGAACGCATGGTGTCTGTCGTCACGTGACTATTGCGAAATGTTTAGCACCGTAATGTAACGGTCGTTATACGTATCATATATCGGTAATATCGTAATACGTACGTAATATCACAATGTTGATGTAATGTGCACCATATCGTCAGAATCATACCGTGATACGTATGGGATGTGTCGTGAGAAAAAAGGTCATGATACGTATCGTAAAATGGGTTTAATACAGTAATACGTATGACACGCTGCGTTAGGTGAAGGTCGATATACGTAATGTTATACGTATGGCATAAATAATATTTATTGTACCCGAGGTTAACCGTTAAAGTCGCGTAATGAGTAATACGTATTGCATCGTGAAAAGAATGTCTAAATACGTATGTTACGTGAGGTGGAGGTCTAAATACGTATTGTATCGTGAGATGAATGCCGTAATGTGTGTTGTATTTAGATGATGGTCGTGATGCGTATATTTGTTTCGTGAGATGAAGGTCGCAATACGTATTGAATCGTGAGATGGTCTAAATACGTATTGTATCGTGAGATGAAGGTCTAAGTTCGTTTCGTATCGTGTGATGAAGGCCTAAATAGACATTGTATGGTGAAATGAAGGTCGTAAAACGTATTGTATCGTGAGATGAAGATCTAAATACGTATTGTATCATAAGATGAAAGTCGTAATACGTATTGTATCGTGAGATTAAGGTCTAAATACGTATTATATCGTGAGATTAAGGTCGTAATACGACCTGTATAATCTTATCTCTGAGCAGTTTTCCTGTTACGCTCATGGTTTACATAACCACCAGGGAGTGATGATTCTGAAGGTTAAACGTTACCGGTTATCCGGTCTCTTACTGTCGTTAATGAAGTGCAGACCTTACACAGACTTTGCATCCTCAAACAACATTGCGGTTTGCGTAACTAAGAGCAAAAAACATTCAATCGATGTTCGAGTATAGGTAAACCATATCTCCATGAATCGAAAAACGATAGTACAAAGACGACACACACAAGCCTTCTCGGCCAAACGCATCCCCTAAAGCTATATATGCCTAAAGGTAGCATGTTATTAAGGGTGACATTACACTCCAGAGAACATATGTAATGTTTTGCACGATTCAAGCCTTCGATAAAATCTTCTTCGATGCATTGAAGATCAGCGGTAGCCTCTGGCACACTTGTCCTTGGAAGGGGAATTTATTAGATCTTTTCATTGCCAAGAGTTACAAAAACAATCACTCTTTTATCCTAATACATTATGACTTTAGAACGTTTTGGTGTGTTTCCCAATCTAAGAGACATATCTATCAAACTAGAGACGTGTTCACATATTCTGAGTATTCTATTTCGTAATGTCTGGTTAACAAATAACGGTCTACAATGAATAGAAAATACCTTTCAGAAAATGGTCAGATGTAACATATATTATATTTGGAATTTACACTTTCTTAGTAAAGTACAAATTCTAGTACTTTGGGGGCTTAAATCCCATCCGATATTTGAATCTCACTTATTAAAAACAATTTACTGTTAGCTTTTTATAAACAAAATAACACAATTACATACATTAGCAACCTCCGATGAGGTCTGTAATAGCAAAAACGTATCCATTAGAACGAAACGTTCAGCGTCTGGCGCAATGCGGGAATCGAACCCCGAACGCGAGGCCATTGCGACCGCGCTCTGCGTGCAGCTCGCCTCAGACATCAGTGGCTAACAGACAGTCGTGTCGACTCACACCAGACCCATAGCGTAATTGTGCCCTGTGGTCCCCCAGGCCGGGCGCTCTGGCTTGCTGCATGCGTAATAGCTTTCAACAATATAGTGCTCTGACGTCACAACACTCTATCCGAGATCGATCGGACTGAGCAATCAATCTCGATGGGCCTGCAGGCCAATATATTCTCATATATGGCGAAAATGCAATTGCATTTTTCAAAAAATATCTGTAACTGGTTTCAATGACGTACAATTACCCAAGAGACAGTGGGACCACAGAGGCACAAAGCAGCCGTGCAAGACGGAGCCATATTACCAGTCTATTTTCACTATGTCAACAATTTCTAAAAATACCACCGATCGAAAATAGAGAATTAGGGGATATATTTAGATTGTGGGGTCGAGGTGTTTGCCGTATAAACCAATCTCCATCTGTCTGCTTACTCACCGCCTGTCTGAGACGTTACTTGGCAAGTTAAGACAATTCGTGGTTGAATAACAACATATCCTGGATTAAATGCAATGAAAAAGTTGGTTATAAATGCATATGGTTCTGGAAGAGGATATATAAATGACAATGCAAATTATAATGAATACTCCATGTCAACAACATTATCATTGTGGTGCGTACTGAGAGAGTGGTCGCAACCCCCCAAATAGCATAAACATGCCCTCAGCTCGACAAGTTTACCAAAATATCTCTCCTGTGTCTATAAATACCATTGGTGCCAGTGGGAAGGCTATGCTCAAAGCACCATCGCGTTTCAGCTCGAAGCTTTGGTATATAAAATGCAATGTCCAGATTTGGACGGTGAGGAGAGAAATAGACATCATTGTGTGTGTACGCAATATGAAAACACTGCAATAACAAAAGCGTAAAGGATGTTCACACCTGAAGTTGGAGCAATTCATGTACGTCTAACATGCACCGAGCACCGTGCATGCGGTGCAAAAATTAAAGACAAAACACTATAGGTATGGAATAATAAAGAATAACTGCGTTACTTACATGTCAGAGGAATCGGGTGTGCATCGTAACATCGTTTAATACGACAACACAATTCCGACTACATATAGAGAACCACAAGTATCTTCTTCATCGATTACTCAAGCACACCTACGCAAATCGTTGCTAGTGGCAACGGAGTCCCAACTGATGCCTGTTGTGTCGTCATTTGACGTCATAGCGTTCACGAGACTGCTGATTGTCAATGCTTGTCATCCGGAGCAGCTACCTCTGCCCCATACCCACATCTCCCCCGGCCTGGTATACACACACTGCGCTTACAACACTCTGTTCCATACCTCTAGTTCCATGCTAGCTATTTTTAACATCTCAGGGCAACGCAGATCCTATATAAAGCAGTCTTCTTCGTGAGTGATCGACCAAATTCTATTTCTGGTAAAGGCTTTTAGCTAACCCATCTATCTTTCTTCATTGGTAGTCGCCGGAGTATGACAAATATCGAACCGCTAAAAATCCATCCGCCATTTCCTTAATTCACTTAACCGACTTTTATACCTATTTATTTAATTTCATAAAATATGCGAGCTGCTTTTTCCGACTGCGAAAAAGTCGAAGTATTTTGGTGTGACCATTATGCGTCTGTGACGTCAAAGCAGCATTGCGCTAGCTGGGCCCAGAGGCCCTGCCGACGTAATCACTAGAAATAGAGAGGGCTGCGTACATGACTAGCTCCTATATAATAGTAAAATACATAGGACATCTTTGATGGTGTCACTGAAGAGAATTCAGGATGGGCTCGTTGGGGGAAATGCCGATGAGTTGATTATTCTATGGATATAGTTCCTGCGTCAGACATTGATGAACTATTTCGTGAAATGATTTGCTGTATTTTAGGCATATCTGCAACCATCTGTATGGTTTTTCGCACACCTTTTCCAGAAATGTGTCATTTACCTTTTATTCGGTTTCTTTTTTAGATAACAGCGCATGATAACTAATAGATGTCCTCAAATACATGACGACAGCTTTTAATAGGAAATCTGAAACAAATGAAAGATAAGTTGCTTAAATCCTTAATGTGTGATAGTGACATTTTAGGTGAGTTGAAATTATCTTATAAAGGTCTGCCATATCTGTTTCTGTTATTATGCGTGTAAATATAGGTGTGAAACCTGAAGTTTTAAGTACCTTTGGAATAATTTTAACCCGAACATGTTTTAATTCAAAACTAATTTACGTTTTGGAGTTAGTTGTTCTGACATAGGAATTGCTAAACACATCGTCTATATTTGTCGCCTTCCGTAACAACGATTAAATGAGAAATGATTGCAACATACAAATGTTAACATACCCTTTCTTCGATGCTTAATTACTGCTTGTCCTACCATACAGTATTGGCTGTTGTCAATTTGATTGTATTCCGGTACAGCGCTGGGTAATTGTCAGGTCAATATTGCTGGGTGGAGGGATAGCCTAGTGGCTGAAGCGTTCGTTCATCGGGTCAGAGGAGCGGGTTCGAATCTAAAAAAAGGTCACAATGTGTGAGAAGGGAATATTGCATACTCACTACAGTGTGGGTTATTTGGGCAGTGCAGTTGTTTCATTTGTCAGTGCAAGGGTGATTGTTTGCTAGCTAGGTTTTAATTCAGTGCTGGCTGCCTTTACTACACCATTGGTTGCTTTTCGGTAGCTTGTTTCGTTAACCTCTGATTTCATCATCTCGTGTCCGTGGATATTCTTCACCAAATCCGTGGTGGTGGGTGATGGGGGATGAATGAAGGGGGTTAGGGTAGGGGATGTACAATGCATTGAACAGAAAGTTTTCAGGTTGTTGATATTCCGCTGAGTGCAATACGGGGTGGACGTTGTTAGATTAGGGCCCCGGGTTCTCGGTCGTACCTCCTATGTTACAGGGAGGAACGAATGCTATTCTCTTAGGACGCTTTGTGAAACGGGGCCCTGGACGTTATTATGGTTGTTCTGGACGCCACTGTGTGCTTTAAGCGCCAGCGTTAATTGGTATTCTGTAAAACAGTGTAGGCGTATTTTACTGTAACATGGATTTTCTCAGCATTTTGGACACCATCTTGTCCATTTTCGACGTCGGCGGTTTTCTTCGGGAAATGTTGATCTTCTGAATGACAGTGTAGGTTTCCACGCCAATATTTGGGACGTTAACATTTTCTACAGGAATCGTTTATATTCTAAACGCCAACCTGGGCTTTGACGGTATCATTGGTACCCAAGACGCCAAAGTGGTCATTCCTGACGTCACCATGAGTATTCATGTCCCCAACGTGAGTACATTTTTAAGAATCATCGACATTGTGAACGACAACCTGGGTTTCCTCGCCGTCGTGGGTATTCTGGACGTAAATATGACTTCCAGTCAAGGTTATCGCAGCATCGTTGATGCACTGAAAACCGTCGTTGTCATTCTCGACGTCAGCGGGGACATTGTGCACGCTAACGTGTAACGTGAGTATGCTCTACATGAAATGGTGGTATTCTGAACGCCATCTCAGGTTATCTCGCCATGACGTATATACAGGGCCTAGATTTTCGAAGCTCTCTTAGCGCTAAGAATGTCGTAAGTGCCATACATTAACATTAATTTACGACTATCTTAGCGCTAAGAGAGCTTCGAAAATCTAGGCCCAGGACGCCAGTGTGCAGCACGACAGGATTCGTTGGGATGACCTCTTTTCTCTCTCAGTCCTTTCTCCTTAGAACGCCAAATCAGAACCTATGAACGTAAACTGGATATTCGGAACGCCAACCTGGGTATTGTGGACGACGTTGTGGATATTTTGAAATTCGTTGAATTCAGGTTGGAATCGTTGACAGTGTAAACGCCATCGTATCCTGGACAACAGCGTGGATTAATTATCGAACTTCAACTCCAACGACGTCCTCGACCCTCCATTGCCATTGCCACAACACAACGCACCTAGTGTTATAGGTCGCGGTCTCCTTTCACGAAGCACTAAGGTTATCGTAAGTCACTAAGGTAACCTTAGTATACAATGTGAAAGAATGGGAGTTAAGGTTAACCTCAATAAAGGTTGCTTCGTGACAGGAGCCCCTGGGTCCCGTTCCTCAAAGCGATCGTAGCGCTGAGATGATCGTAACTCCCATACTTTAACATAGACTTACGACTGGCGTAGCGCTACGATCGCATTGAGGAACGGGGCCCTGGTGTGTATTCTGCAGCACAGCTATGGTGTGTTTAAATTATGTGTCACAGTATAGGTACTTGATAAACTGTGTCCTCCCGATTGCATGTGCCACAATGTGTCAGCGAGTTGCATGCAACACTGACGGGAGAGTTCTGTCTGCGGTGCGATGTCTAGCGGTAAAAATGAGTCAAATGAGTTGTATTTGGCGGCGCTGGCAACGACGTGGTCGCGGGGCCGATGTGTCTACGTTCCAGCCGTCCTGCAGCGTGGAGTGATCGGCGCTGGCCAGACTGCCCTATGTCGATCTTGTGTGCGCGTGTAGGTCGGGCCCTGCTGATTCATTCTGCGATCGATTTTAGCTGCCTGAAAATGCCTTTCACCGTATTACCGCCATGCAGGTCGTGCGCCCATTGTGTTCGCTGTGAATAAATTTCTGCCTTCTCAATGAAAGGAAAGGGATATTCGCAGCACCAAATATGAATGCAAAGTTTCTTCATCGGGGACTGTTATCATTTTATGCACAAATAAGGACACTGTCACATTACTCTCGAAATGTCGGCCTATAAACCATTGTCATTAGGTCCTTAATCCAAGACTTAGCAGAACACGGTTTGAAATGTTTAAACATGAAGATAAATGTTATCCAACCCGCTCTGCGTCAATACAGGCGAGTGAGTGAGTGAATTACATGCTACGTCCCATAGGTAATAGCTGAGTCATGTAGGGAAGGAAAGTCATTAAAACATCTCTTAAAACACACCGAAATTATCTCAAAACATTTTAAATTGCCATTAGCGACTGCTCTGTTTCCGTGTCGTTTTATACGCTACGAAAATGGCTTAAGATTCTATTCGAAAACAATGATTATGACCAAGGTCCCAATCCACTAAACGTTCGTAGCGCTACGACTAGATTAACACTTAGTCTCTGAATATATATAATTTTGATTGTAACCTGTGAGACAAGGTACGCTACGACATTGGTAAGCCTGTGATGAACTATAGAATGAGACAGGTCGTAACGTTACGAACGTTTTGTGGATCGGGAACCAGTGCGTAAACATACTGGACATGTATGTTCGAGTTCACGTATTATAAACTGTCTATGCGTTGTTGATTGACGGAAACCATCAAAACTATTTCGGTGAGTCACGTCACTTTCCGTGCGATTCCACTTAGACACTACGGTGCGAGCGTGGGTGTAGGGAAATGAGGAGGAACTTCAATTTCCAAAGAAACAGTCTATTTTTCGAAAATTCTTCATTTTAAGGAAAAGCTTTATAAAGTTCCGGAAGAATATATGTAAAATATAAGGGTGGACATTAACCACAGACCTATGTTGTGTCAAAATTGATTGCGCTGAATGTATTGAATAGTTGGATTTATTACGTTTTATTCTTGTAATGACCTGGTATATCGTTAAGAAAAATTTTCAGCTGATATATGAATATTTATTAGATAAATCGAAAGTGAGGATTTGGGTTTCTTCTTTCATTGTAACAATATATTTTTAGACGAGATGGGTTTTTGTGACATCTGACTCTCTAACGACTATGTCATAGGGAGCTACCTAAATAAAAATTTATATAATGAATACATTATATTTTCATGTTGAATCAAATCCAGTTTTCAGCAAGACGGCCCACTGTTTAATACATTCATGAAAACATTTTTACAATACACGATCATACATTATTTCTAATATTTATTAATAACGTTTGTACACGTGGCAACCTAGTTTTAAAAATACATTCACATGTATCGATAAAAAAATCATTAAAATTTCATGTTATTAATAATCCTAAATCGTACACAAATGGTGCTATATAATATAAATTGATGAAACATCCTCAGATGTAGGTCTAACAAGCTGTTACGAATACATCTATTACACATAAAACAGCTGAACATGCGCATTGTGTCACTGCATACTATATAAATATTTCTTTGAAACAGGTGCTTGTGCAATACCATTGAAATTGTATAATATTCAATTAATTATTATCCATGCAAATCAAGACAGCAAACCATGTGGAAATGCCCTACAATATGTATCACCACATCTAAATACATACAAACATGTATATATCCTTGTATTCATATATGATAACACCGCACATATATGAAATCTCTTGGTTTGCAACAGTGGATATAAATATAGATCCCTGTTTTCGCGTACAATAACTAATACCCCGCGTATGAAGTCTCGTGATCAGGTTTAGCGAACCAAAGGACTAATACGACACTAATAATATACAGGGTCTGCCTTTACGCTAATCGACGCTTAATTAACCGTGTCGTCTAATTAACCGAAAGCCCCGATAAGCTTGACTGAACAGCGAGGTTTTATAATTGAAAGCGACAAAAAATAACCTGACATCGAACCAACCATTCAGCAGCCAATTGACCCGAACATCGTTTCCCCAGCCTGAATGGCAGTCGTTGACAATTCATAAATTAATAACATCTCAGGTTAGTCATAGCTTGAATGAAACAAGCCTATAGTGATTGTCAAAGGTGTTCTGTCTTCCGCTGGGCAATATGCCCATGTCCTATCACTTTTTGACTGAAACTAGCATGTTCACTGTTACAACTTGGAAATATATTTCCTTCGAATTTTCTATCTCCATTTTGCACTAGTGTCGAGTATTTCTTCACCTGGCGCACGCGTCGCGCATATGAATATTTGAGCCTTTGATCCTATCGAAGCTGAATGAAAAGAACACTGAATGAAACGGCATACAGAGCTAATCAATACTACCAACCTCGACCCACATATTATTCTCAATGTAAACAACGGTCATACCCATTGCAATGTCTAAACAACAGCACGGCAACGAATGGGCGTGGCCAATTCACGCGTGAAACCTAGACTGACGTCACATTTGCTTGGCACACTTGCAAAGTGTTCGAAAAACATAACTAGCATGAACAGAGATCCTCTCAAAACAAGGTCAAATATACAGCGTTGTTCAGTGTAATTGGCGATTTATACTTCGCTGAGTGACAGCGCAAAGGGGCTGCTTTCCGGAAGGAAACTGACATGTAATTCACTACTGTTATGATTGACAGTCGTGTGGTAATCTGCCACCCCATTGGCTGTATTTGGAGAGGGATAATTTACATGAGAAATATCAATGTAATGTGCACAGTGCATTCGGCGGACGTGTGCAGACCCACTGGAAAGTTGTTTGGACCGTCGTTTCTTATTATCCTGCAAAAGTCTGATATTAAGAAGTATAATGACAATAAAAAGACTTTGCATTTCCGCTGGGCAGGGCTGGGGGAAATCTTTGCATAATGGAGTGTTCCATATTTGAATTGAGTCCCAGTGATGGCCTATACTTTTGTATCAATGCGCCTGTTTGCGACATTTACTAAAAACTATATTCTGTGCAAAATATAGTGTGTAATGACGACTAACATCATAACCAAAGACTTGCAATAATGTGCAGTGACACAACTGGCCATGGAGGCATGCTCAATACAGAAACCTAACGGAACTACATTTTCCTTGCGCGGATGATAGAAAGTAGTGCTTCGTCCCATTTCCTGTCTTGTGGAAAAATCGTCGAGAGAGAAAATTTCTAGTTTATACTGTATTCTGTATACATAATCGAAGAATTTAACAGAAAAATGACCTGGAGAAGATGACAGAAGAACAACTAAAAAAGTAAGTGACATATATTTAAGTTTGATGTGCTGCCTCGCTTTGTCCTATGGGCTGAGTAAACTGGCCAGGGTGAAAGAATTTGTGGTTCAACATGGATGCCTCCTACCTAGCACGCCAAGCCAAGCGGCATTGATGAGGGTAGACCCATGTAAATACAGTCAAAACTCTATTTCCACGACATACGGACAGTAGAAACTTTGTATTTAATAGTTTAGGTATACAGTGAACGTTTTCACAATGTGCTAGTTAATCCGAGACGTCTGATTGTGAGGCGAGTTGACACGGGATGGTTGCACGAATCCGAGACCTGTGTTTAGCCTTAGCAATTCATTCATAAAAGACTGTGAATGACGGTACGGGCCAGGGCTGGGCGGATGAGACTGATGTTGTCCGTCAGTCCTTGTTAGCGGCATAGGGAATTCATTAAATCACCCCCGTTCCTAATTGTTCTTTTTATTGAACGGTCGATGTTGTAATTATGTACATTTTAATAATTTGACACTGGGGAAGACAATGGTACGTGGATGCAATTTGTGATCGTGTTGTCTTGTTTTCACTCATCCCTATATGAATCATGAATGAACTTGGTTGGACGCTATCTATGGGCTTGTCTGAACACTTCCCGTGTCGATGTTTGATATATATACTGAACCAGGATTTCATATCTAGACATACGGTTATTTCATTCATGAACCGACAAACAGGAAGTTGTGTGGTTCCTTGCGAATAGAATATTCCTTGTGATACTCATGAATTTTGCTATGATATAATTGTTTCTTTGAAGCAAATATTATATGACCAAGTATTATTTATATTGAAAAATTAATCCTAATTTATTTAGAATTGTTCACCAATAGGTTTAATTTACAGGGATATTTCTTTGTAATGAAATTTAATATGCCTTAGAGCAGTTATTTATCAAATATAGATAGCTTATATATAGCATTTTCAGTGCTCTGTAATTCGCAAATATGTGTGTTAATGATACAAAATGATAAACAATAAATATCTCTTACTTTACCTGAATGAAATATATATACATTATGCATTTTTATCAGATCATACAGTGATTGTCAGGTTAACTAATAAACTTCAAACAGTCTCACTTACAATTATCTTACAGACATAATTTTATGATGGAGTACAGGAGTACAGCAGAACAGAAAAAATATTTTGTGCATTGTCAATTTAGTATACAGAGGCTAACCCTAGATATTTATTCTGTATAACAATTGTGTAGAAATTCAAGCAATATGAAGGTAACATTATCACCATTATGTTCACGTGATGATGAATAATAACAACGTTTATGGAGATGTTGAATTGGGTCATTGTAATATTGCTTGTTATCTCCAGGTTAAAATAGGAACATTTTCACTAAGTATAACATTATGAATTTAACTGTCAAGTCTATTTGTGTTCATTTGTTTAGTCATATTATGTTGAACACACTGTAAACTTTAAATACCATTGTTTTTTTATGCAACATTGTTAAGCTTTCAATGTACAATGTTCAGTCAAAGGCAAACTGTAAAAGATTTGGATGTATATTACAGTTTTGTTATAAACCATTACTTGTCTGCAAGGGAATATGGACTTCAAAATATTGCAGTATTTCACTTAGATGTCCATGTTATTTTGAAAATTCGGGCAAATATTGATTTCATTTTTTTTTTGCACAGGATGTGCAATATAGTAAGCTTATGTGACTTACCGGTATGTAGAAGTGAACATACAGATTTGTATGTGAGACACAGTAACAACTGTTAATTTTTGATAACTTGAGCGAAATGTTTAAATATAATTTCAATATTAATTTGTTATATTCTGCTCTGTGTAAAAACAGATTCATACCAAAACTCTTTTTGAACATTAATAGTAATAATACATTAGCTTTCTTTCTGCAACTAACATCATACTTTCTATTTTCAGCAGAATCATATGAGATTTATAAATTTAAGTAAATCTGTTTTCTGTAGGTGAGTGTGATAACCCAGAAGATATTATTTATCCACTTCACTGTCACTGCCATTAGATTTAAATATAGTCAGAGCAACATTGTTTTAGTATATGAGCTGAACAACAACTCCCATAACATGAACATGGCATTGTCCCTTAAGTGTTAAAATGAACTAGCAGTTTGTTGTTGGTAGTTGTGTGAGAAGCCAGCTAAAGGATGAATTTACACAGAAAATGTCCCATGTATGAAATGAATATTTAGTATTTGAAATTAAGAGTTTCTTGGCTTCAAGGGATTCTTGTCACTACGCTCACATTACTAATTTTATCCCTGTCTTTGCCAAATGACCTGTGAAGTCCGGGTTAGAATATTGATCTTCAGTAACCCATGCTTGTTGTAAGAGGCGACTATTGGGATCGGGTGGTCAGGCTCGCTGACTTGGTTGACACATGTCATCGGTTCCCAATTGCGCAGATCACTGGATTGTCTGGTCCAGACTCGATTATTTACAGACCGCCGCCATATAGCTGGAATATTGCTGAGTGCGGTGTAAAATTAAACTCACTCACTCACTTTGCCCAAAACCTTTTCTAGACCAAACCAGGCTTTGAGTGTCTTTTTCAGTTGATTTAAGGTTTACGGTATGGAATGTAAAAAAGCTGAGGATACTAGACCAAACGAAATTTTGCTAGGGCTTCCGACTATGGTTAAAGTCTGGTATATCACACAGTAGGTTCAAATGATACAGCACATTACTTAGTTGCAACTTCAAGGACCCCTCAGTTACAAGATTAATGTAATTTCATCTAGTGAATTGATGTTTTGATCATCTTTTGCATTTGCACAAGCCAGGACAAGGAAAACCTGGAAAGACATTTCTGCCAAATCTATGTGTGTTACCCTCTAAAATATATCTGTTCAGCATTGTTCAAAAAAGGATTCTGTACGTAATCTACAGTATGTTTCCCACACTACAGTACCTACACTAAGTTGCCTACACTATAGTACGTATGCAGAACAGTGCCTACACATCCCTTACAATACCTACACTATGGTGCCTACACAATGTACCTACACTAAGTTGCCTGTACTACAATACGTACACAAAACAGTTCCTACATGCGATCTACAATACCTGTCTACCTCCACTACAGTACCTACACTGCGATATCTACAATATGTTGCCTACACTACAATACATGAGAACAGTACCTACACACTCTCTACAATACCTGCACTATGTTGCCTACATTACAATATATACGTAGAACAGTTCCTACACACACTCTACAATACCTGCACTTTGTTGCCTACACTACAATATATGCATATAACAGTTCCTACACACACTCTACAATACCTGAACTATGTTGCCTACACTACAATACATTCGTAGAACAGTTCCTACACACACTCTACAATACCTGCACTATGATGCCTACACTACAATTCATTCGTAGAACAGTTCCTACACACACTCTACAATACCTGAACTATGTTGCCTACACTACAATTCATTCGTAGAACAGTTCCTACACACACTCTACAATACCTGCACTATGATGCCTACACTACAATTCATTCGTAGAACAGTTCCTACACACACTCTACTATACCTGCACTATGTTGCCTACACTACAATACATTCTTAGAACAATTCCTACACACACTCTACAATACCTGCACTATGATGCCTACACTACAATACATTCGTAGAACAGTTCCTACACACACTCTACAATACCTGCACTATGATGCCTACACTACAATTCATTCGTAGAACAGTTCCTACACACACTCTACAATACCTGCACTATGTTGCCTACACTACAACATATGCGTATAACAGTTCCTACACACACTCTACAATACCTGCACTATGTTGCCTACACTACAATATATGCGTATAACAGTTCCTACACACACACTCTACAATACCTGAACTATGTTGCCTACACTACAATACATTCGTAGAACAGTTCCCACACACACTCTACAATACCTGCACTTTGTTGCCTACACTACAATATATGCGTATAACAGTTCCTACACACACTCTACTATACCTGCACTATGTTGCCTACACTACAATACATTCTTAGAACAATTCCTACACACACTCTACAATACCTGCACTTTGTTGCCTACACTACAATATATGCGTATGACAGTTCCTACACACACTTTACAATACCTGCACTATGTTGCCTACACTACAATATATGAGTAGAACAGTTCCTACACACACTCTACAATACCTGCACTATGTTGCCTACACTACAATACATGCGTATAACAGTTCCTACACACTCTCTACAATACCTGCACTATGTTGCCTACATTACAATATATGTGTAGAACAGTTCCTACACACTCTCTACAATACCTGCACTATGTTGCCTACACTACAATACATGCGTAGAACAGTTCCTACATGCGATCTACAATACCTGCACTATGTTGCCTACACTGCAAATGGTCACATGAAGAATATAGAAATAGAATCTGAAATCTCAATCATTGGTTTGTCTGGTCCAGAGTCAGTTATCTCATGAACTGCTGGGATGAAACTTTAATATTTGCTCATCTTGAACACCTACATCTGCCATTCCCTTACAGGTGTGTTTACATCACACAAATACCTGATACAACATATCACATCGTTTTATGGTGTACTGTATCAGAGGCACGCATGTAACACCATTCTTTAACCCAAATCTCAATGGGACCTATTCAGAATAGTGTTCGTTTGACTTTTTGAGCTGTCTTTGTTAATTTCTGCACTCTTAAAGGTATAAAAATTCTTCTGAAAATACGATACATATTGTACGTTGCAATGGTAGTAGCTTTTGGAATAGTATATTTGTTTGAATTCGGAATCATATCAGTTTGAAACCTTAGATCCCAGGTTTATTGATCAACAGCATGATTAGGTATTTTGACTAATTAGATCAAACCTAATATTTATATGTATCATAGGTAGTCATTGAACATGCAATTTAATTTGTTCCAATATGTTTCTTTGTCAGCCATTAAGTTG